TGATTTTCATTTTTTATATTGTTAGATGGCTTACTCCTTCAGAAAGACTGTCACCAGAGCTTCGAGAACCTCATCATCCAGCCGAACCTCGCCCAGCTGCCCGTCATAGAATTCCTCTAGTACGTTTTCCCGATTTTATGAAAGCAAATTTCGCGAGTTCTAAAAATTTAATTTATTGGAAAAATTTCGTGAACTCCTCCAACTTTAGCAACAACGTCACGAAGGTGTCCACCAACATCTCCGACTTTGGCAGCTTCAACTGGATGGTTGGTAGCTCCTAAATAATCTCTGCTAACCTGCCCTATGGTCTTCTTCAACAACCTCTGCTAGCCTGCCCTCTCCTCTTCCTCAACAATCTCTGCTAGCCTGCCCTCTCCTCTTCCTCAACAATCTCTGTTAGCCTGCCCTCTCCTCTTCCTCAACAATCTCTGCTAGCCTGCCCTCTCCTCTTCCTCAACAATCTCTGCCAGCCTGCCCTCTCCTCTTCCTCAACAATCTCTGCTAGCCTGCCCTCTTTCCAGGGCTTCGCCGTCGCGACGCTGATCACATGTCTGGTGGCTGGGCTGTTGGTCATGTCGATTCGCGCCTATTGTAGGACTTCGCACCAAAAAACCTCAGTAATTTCAGCCTACTTTGCCATGTGCATCCAGCTGCTGATGGCCATGCTGCTGATGGTGTTGACGGTTGCTATTTTGTGTACTTCTTACAGTACCACCTCAGATCCATTCGCACTACAATATCCCAGCGGATATGCCAGCCGACGCCGCGCCGCCCACCCTGCATTTTCAGCCGCGCTACACGACGCTGCTGCAGTGGACGGTGGGGCGAGCTAGCAGCGATTGTTGAGGAACAAGAAGTTTTAAGGTATGGCAACAAGCCCTGATGCTGTCGATCCGATCCCAGTCGCTGGGTCAGGCGACGATACCGGCCGCCGGCGCCTACGCGAGACAGGACGACTTTACCATCAAGGTACTCAAAGGCTTGGTGTAGGCTTAGGCTTCGGCCTACGCTCAAGCTTAGGCTTACGTTTTTTACCCATTTACATCTATTTCCCTAGTGGGTGCTGCTGGCGACGCTCTGTGACGTGCTGTTCTCGCTGTGCTGCACCTACTACATGGATGGCGGGTTTTTCTATCGATTTTAGGGGAGCATGAGCCTAAGCATGACCATTAGGGGAGAGAGCAGGCTAGCAGCAAGCATTAGGTCTTTTTCTCCAGGTCTGATGGTCGTGATGGCTGCGGTGACGGTCGGCAACTTGAACCCGTACGACTTTGACAGACAGAGTACGTTTTTACCAGGCTTACGTCGACCCCCTGTCCTTTTAGCCCACGTCTGGCTCCATGGGCTGGCCGTCCAGGCGCTCTCCTACTACAACAGCCAGTCCTTCATCCTCGCCCACCACTTCTTCGTCTTTCTGGTGATGCTCAACAGCTATATGAGTTAGTTTCTCATTCTTCGATGATCTCTGCTAGCCTGCTCTTTCCTAAGCATAAGCCTTTTTGCCAGGTATCGCCATGTGTCAACATCAATTCGTCCGTACCCTCCTCGACACGAAAAAACGCTGGCATGCCTCGATCGTGATGGCCATCGTCTCGACGGTGATCTCGCTGTTCTTCTTCTTTGAGGTACTGTTTCCTTAGGGGGTACGGTAAACCGGTCATCATTCAGAATTACGACCAACTGTTTACCTGGTTCTCGTCGGCCCGTTCCGTGTTGACGATCATGATCCTCGGCGCGCATCTGACGCTCTTCGTCACGTGCTACGGTAAGATGGGGGCTGGCAGTGATTATTTGAGGGATTACCGCTCCAGGCATGTCCCAAGTCTACTACGACATCACGGTGATGACCGGCATCCCGAACGGGTGGCGTGAATGGTTGTGGGACCAGCTAACGCAACACTCCAACTGGCTCTACGCCCATATCGTGCCCGCCCTTACTGCGGTACGCCGTTGATTGATGCTTAGGCTTGGGCTTGGGCTTGGTTTAGGCTTAGGCTTAAGCTTAGGCTTAGGCTTAGAAGTTAGTGTCTATTGAAGAGCTTCAGTGGCTTCTTCTTGTACTCAAGGAAAAAACCTTGAATGGCTCTTTAAAATCCATTTTCCAGCTTCTCCTCGGCACCCTCTTCAACGTGCCCGTCGATCACATGCCGTTCAAATGGGTAGGGCAGGCTAGCAGAGACTGTTGAGGGGGCTGCGAAAATTTAGATGGCCGAAAATCCGGTGCTGTACTACTTGCTGACGCCGCCCGTCCTCGGCGCCATCGTCGCCTGCATCACCATCCCCACCGTTATGTACTTCAAGGTAGAGGTATTCAGGAGCGGTCAGAACATGAAACCCCCAGGGCGACTTCCTCGAACTGTTCCGCCCGCAGCCCGGTCTGCCCTCCTACAAGCGGCTGCGCGTGCCACTGGGCGACGGATAACCGGGTTGACGACGTCGCGGCTGCGCTGCGATCATCACCACCCAACCCCACGACTAACGATCATTGTGCGCATCTGTTTTTTGTGCTTTTCGTTCTCTTGCGTGTGGGTGTTCACGCCAATAAATTTGGGCCCATCCGTATTCCGCAAAGAATCCATGCTAGCATGTAATACCCCAGGGAGAACCGTTTAAACTATGATTTTCGGAATCTGCATGCGAAACTACGTCGGATACGTATACGCTCCACCGCGCTTTTGAGTAATCGAGCTGACATTTCGAGCCAACGCGCGATGTTACTTAAAAAAAATCGTAAAAACCACAACGACAACGTTACGGCTGTGCCAGTTAGCGCATCAGAATCAGCGTTTCAAGCCGGTTCGCATGGTACCTATATCTCGTGGTGAGCATTACGCGAATTCTCGAAAAAAACCGATTTGGTGCCCTCTTTGCCCCACAACGACGACAAGCGAACACTTCAAAAAATCATAGCAATCACGCCATGGCCTCTTCGGCTTCAGTCAAAACTGTTTTGGCACGATTCACGATGTGCTCTTTCAGATACAAATTGAATTGCGTGTTGAAAATTCCAGATAGGCTTCAAATAGGCCTAGAAAGGTATACGGTAACTTGGCGGCCAGAGCCGACCTACAAAAAATCATATCAACGACACCAGGGTCTCCCAGGTTTCGCACTAAACCTTTTTCGGCACTATTTTTGATGCACTTCCGGATGCACAAATAAAAACGATTTGGCACCGTTGTTTTCCCACGAAATCAGCCTTGGAAGGTACGGGCGAATAGGGGGAGGTGCGGTGCCTAGTTGCAACTTCGACAAATCATAGCGACCACATACGCGTCGCTACGGCTATGCCAGTTAGTAGATCGGAATCAGCGTTTCAAGCCGGTTCGAATGAGTCCGGGGCGAAATTCTGGCGAGGGCTGGCTCGAGCGTAGAGATTCAATGTTCGAAACCACCGCTGCTGGCGACCACCAAGCGCAAAGCAAGTTCATTTATTCACAGTAAGCAAGGAAAAGAGCACAGGCACATGTAGGCATTAATGATATACAATTCACGCGATTTTCAAATAGAAACACACAGCCATGGAGGTTTAATGGATATGGGATTTGAAGGCTTCTAAAAGAGGTCGGGGCAGCGGCTCCAGTCCTGGCGATCTTTGCACTTCCAGTAGTCGCCGTTCGAGCTGAAAGGGGAGCAAATGATCTCTGCTAGCCTGCCCTATCCTCTTCCTCAACAATCTCTGCTAGCCTGCCTCTCCTCTTCCTCAACAATCTCTGCTAGCCTGCCCTCTCCTCTTCCTCAACAATCTCTGCTAGCCTGCCCTCTCCTCTTCCTCAACAATCTCTGCTAGCCTGCCCTCTCCTCTTCCTCAACAATCTTTGCTAGCCTGCTCGCCCGAAAAACTCACATATAAACCGGGAGCTTCGTGTCTGGATCGAGCAGCTTATGGAACCAGAGCGGCTTCACCTCCGGCACCTCTTTACCTGGAACTTACACGTCCGGACAAGGCTTAGGCTTAGGCTTAAGCTTCGGCTTCGGCTTAGACTTAGGCTTGGGCTAGCAAAGACCATTTAGGAACCCTCCAAAATCCTCTAACCTTCCTTCGCCACCCGCGCCGCCTCCACCTCGGCCTGGCGTCGCCGAACCCGCTGCTTCTCCTCGATCTCGACCTTCTTCGCGTTGGCGGCGTCCCACTGAACACAGAGTTCCTCAATTTCCAGTGCAAGCCTACCTGGCCGGCCTCCATCAGCCGCTGGTCGGGTCTGAGGCGACTGTCGGTGGGGGCGACGCCCGGCTCGGGCTCGTTCAGCTGGACGGCGAACTTGGTGAAGCCGTAGGTCTTGTCGGCGTTGGGCCTGGAGACAGGTTTTTGCCGAGGCTAGGCTTAGTCTTAGGCTGAGGCTTAGGCTGATGCTTAGATTAGGCTTATGCTAAATTCGACCCAGGCATGCTAGCAGAGACCCTTTGCGCTACCGTACATCGGCGGGTCGGCCGTCCAGAGGGTTGTCGCGGAGTCGGGCATCCCGCCTGGTGGCGCCATCCGCATCTCCGAGTTCCAGTGACCAGAGAGCAGATGTTGCGCAACACGGTCCTTGTCGACGACCTCGCCGTTGACCTAGGCAAGGGCAGGCTAGCAGAGATTTTTGGGGAAACTACCTGGCGCTGGGGTTCCCTGGTGAAGTAGGAGTAGGGGTGGAACTTCAGGGAGCACCTGTGCCCGGTCGTGTGGTTGACAATCTCCATCTCGCCGTGGTTGTCGATCCACAACTTGCCCACGATGATGTTGTGCACCGTGGTGGTCACCTAGCAGAGATTCTTGAGGAATTCACGTCGGCTACCCGACCTTCGTCAAGGTATAGTGGTGTCCGGTGGCGTCGAAGATGATGTGTGTACGCCCGACGGGGACCAGGCTCAAGTATTTTCCGCTAAAGAAAGTTTTTCGTTGCGCGGCCCTTTAAAAAGCTTGCCGGAAGAGGGACGTCATCGTGAAGAGCTGGTACAGCTTCCAGCCGCGCCCCTCGACGTAGTGAGCAGCGCCGGGCGGATGGTGGGACACCTGCTCCGTCAGGCTCCGCCACCCGTACTCCGCCACCCGGTCGCACTCGTACGTCTCGCCGAGCATCGGGTTGAACGGCTTCGTCGTGCGGGAGCCGGTGGTGGCGTAGCTGGAGGTTCAAATGATCGCTGCTAGCCTGCCCAACCTGCTAACGGCGAACGCAGCAACATGGCACATCTGCAGCGACGGGTTCATCGCGGAGGCGGCCGTATCGAGCAAATGCGCGTACTCCAGGTCCTCGGTGACGCGCTGCAGCATCGACAGCGGCTCCGAGAAGTTCACCTGGAACTCAGTGTTTTCGGGCAGGCTACCAGAGATCCTTGCGGAAGTCAAATATCAGCTACCGGCATCGGGATGCGGCTCAAATCTTTTCCAATCGAGTTCTTCAGGATGCTCCAGAGGCTGAGGGACGCTTTCGGGCGTTCCGGGATCTGGTCGCGGCGGCGTGGGAGCGTTGGACGAGCCGTGGTCGCTGGGAATTTAGGGGATGCCTGGAATTGTCTACCATTGCCCAAGAATCTCTGCTAGCGACGACCTCAAACGACGTCTTCAAGCGGGCCATTTGCGAGGTCGAGGCTTCGGGGGATCCGCCGGCCATCACCAGATCTTCATCGCGGCGTCGAGGGGTGCTGAAAAATGCCTCCAACAGCCTTTTAAAAGGCCAATCACCTCTTGATGAACTCCTCCTCGGCGTCGTAGAACTCCTCGAGGTCGGTCACTAAACGGGAGGATGCTAGCAGCTAGTAAACGGGAGGATTGTTGAGGACGGGGAGAGGGCAGGTTAGCAGAGATCCTACTATATATAAAAAAATAGTGTCTGTGTGTGTGTGTGTGTGTCCGTGCCACTTTGCATGCAACTTCCGTCAGCGTGTTCCAGTAGTATCTCAAGAAGGGAAGGGTTTTAGGCTACGTATGATACGTCATTAGGTGCGTAATGGCCTAGGGATGACTGCACACTCATAAAATTTTTCCTACTATATATAAAAAAATAGTGTCTGTGTGTGTGTGTGTCCGTGCCACTTTGCATGCAACTTCCGTCAGCGTGTTCCAGTAGTATCTCAAGAAGGGAAGGGTTTTAGGCTACGTATGATACGTCATTAGGTGCGTAATGGCCTAGGGATGACTGCACACTCATAAAATTTTTCCTACTATATATAAAAAAATAGTGTCTGTGTGTGTGTGTGTGTGTCCGTGCCACTTTGCATGCAACTTCCGTCAGCGTGTTCCAGTAGTATCTCAAGAAGGGAAGGGTTTTAGGCTACGTATGATACGTCATTAGGTGCGTAATGGCCTAGGGATGACTGCACACTCATAAAATTTTCAAAAATTAGCGGTTTTCAATGTTAAAATTAAGTTTTTGTTGAAAAATCGAGAACCCTCTTTGTTAGGGAACAATTAGCATATGCCGGAAGTGGCGGTCGCCTATATAAGGGAAATGAGCGATCGTTTCTCCTTTTTTGCGTCATCGAAAACCACGAGAAATATGCAAAATAAAGAATATCATCGGATCAGACGGGACCAGGGTTGGAAAGTCGCGTAGCGGCTTTTCAACCCTGGTTGTTGAGGAATCAAATAGTCATTAATGCGTTGGCCCACCGTTCGGGTTGTTGGAGCGCTTGGCGATCAGTTCGAGCGTGTTCTGCTGCTGGGCGAGCGCCAGGATCTGCTCGTCGAGGCGGTCGCGCTGTCGGCGCTCTCCCTAAAAACTCGGATTCCAAAGAATCCCTGCTAGCTGCCCTCAGACTCCGGCTCTAGGGCAAGCTAGCCAAGACGATTGCGGAATTCTCTTAGCTCCTAGTTGCTACCTGAACCAGGCTCCTCAAATGATCGACCTCCCAGCCGGCAGTGGTCGCCACTTCGGCCGCATTCTTCGACACCATCTCGGACGCTGTCTAAATTCCCAAATGGTCTCTGTTAGCTGCCCAGAGTCGTACCCTGAGTTCAGCAACAGCTTGAGCGAGGCCGGGACCAGGCTGTAGTTTTTTGAGGGCATCGAGGCGCGTTTCTGAAATGGGATTAATGGCAGGGTATTGACGGGGTGGGCCATCCAGTAGAGATCCTTGAGGAAATAAAAAAATTTCAGCTCCACAAGAATCTCTGCTAAATCTAAGAATCACAATGATACACCAAGCTGCTGTCGGCTCCCAGCGAGTCTGTGCAACGCCTGCGCGAGCCCGTGCGGCTGCCGCGACGCTTCCGCCCCGTCCGCATCGTAGTAGGACTCGCCGGAAGTGGAATTCGACGCCCTGCCGACCTCTTCTAAAGCCAAGTTTGACAAGGGCAGACTAGCAAAAACCATTTGGGCCACGAGTCGTGCGATGGCGGGCCAGGTTGAGGGCGGCCACCCATTCGTCGCGCAGGCTCGGGCTCGGCGCCTTCAGGTGGAACATTTGGCCCGCCGATGCGACGACGAAGCCGCCAGAACTCTGAAAGAGGCAGGCGATCAGAGGTTGGTTGAGGAAGCGGAGAAGGCAAGCTAGCAGCGACCATTTGAGAACTCGTACCCCATCAATGGTGACGCGCGCCTCGCGAAGGTCAATCTTCCCGTGACAGCTCTTCTCCAGCTGGTCATCCCTGTTTTAAAGGGACGTTGAAGGAAAAAACGAGATCCCCGACTTGTACTTGTAATAAGAGAGGAAGCCCTGGGCGTCCAGAGCGAAGCGGCGCCGACGGTAGCCCTTGATGTAGTTGGCCCACTTGTAGAGATCGCCCTCCTGGAAACAAAAAAATGATCATTGCTAGCCTGCCCTCTCCTCTTCCTCAACAATCTCTGCTAGCCTGCCCTCTCCTCTTCCTCAACAATCTCTGCTAGCCTGCCCTCTCCTCTTCCTCAACAATCTCTGCTAGCATGCCCTCTCCTCTTCCTCAACAATCTCTGCTAGCCTGCCCTCACCTCTTCCTCAACAATCTCTGCTAGCCTGCCCTCTCCTCTTCCTCAACAATCTCTGCTAGCCTGCCCTCTCCTCTTCCTCAACAATCTCTGCTAGCCTGTCTTCTCCTCTTCCTCAACAATCTCTGCTAGCCTGCCCTCTCCTATCCCTCAACAATCTCTGCTAGCCTGCCCTCTCCTCTTCCTCAACAATCTCTGCTAGCTTGCCTTGACGACAAGCTCGGGATCCGGGGCGCCGAGCTGCTCCAGACATTCCACAGAAGCCGTGACGCGAGCAACACTCACTTCCGGTGCCTCGGATATCGTGTTTGGCTGAATTCCAAAATGGTCTCCGCTAGATCGCCCATTCCTACCTTTTGAAAGAAGCCGAGAAGGCTCTTCCGCTTCGGCATCGGCAGTTTTCCAACGCGCACCATTTCGGTTCGCGCGGGCGTCGAGATCTCAATTTTTAAGCGCGACTGTGTGTAAATTATCTTATGCAAATTTAAATGCTATGTAGTAGGTAAATTTATCAGTAAAAAAAAGAAGAAGAATGATGTTTCAGTTTCCTATCGACGCTCGGATTCCACGGGCCCATCGTCAAGTCGTATCTCGACGTACTGCCCCTCGTCCGGATCCGCGTGGGGTTTGCCGGTTGCCGGTTCATCTCCGGAAAATCCCGGGTTACGAGGGCCCTGCTTGAAGGATGCCTGCTGGATGCGGAGGCTCAACTGCTCGCGCTGAAACGGGCTTAAGCTTAGGCTTAGGCTTAGGCTCAGGCTTGGGCTTAGGCTTTGGCTTAGGCTTAGGCTTAGGCTTAGGCTTAGGCTAAAGTTTAGGCTTGGCCTTAGACTTCGATAGCACGCACCTTGGCGATGTTGGCCGTGCCGGTATATGCCATTCGCGGATAGATCAGCACCAACACCCGGTAGATGAGCAGGCTCGAAGAGGCGACGAGGAGCAACAGGGCTAGAAGTGCTTTCAAGGGCCGTAGAAGCCATCGTACCTCCGATGGCTGCCAGCGTCAACTCGATCCTTGCTTTCGGACATCGGAAGGCCACCATATTGCACTTGTCGACGTCGACGCATCGCGTGTTGATGCGGGCAGTGTAGTAGAAATGGCATAGGTTCTGAAGGATCTCAAGAATCCCTGCTAGACTGCCCTACCCTCTCATTCATCCACGGCCCGCTTGAGTTGCAAAACAGCGCCGTGTCCTCGGCTCCCTAAAAACTAAATTTTTGCATTTTCAAGGACCATTGAAGGCAAATTTTTAGGATCAGACCGTTCGATTAGGAAGTTCATCCAAGCCGGCTTGGCTGCATTGATAGATGGTGGGACTGCAGTGTGAGAAAGATCCAGGTTGTGAGTTTTCTGCCTCGGTGGTGTTCTCCTGAAACGGGAGGCTAGCAGAGATTGTTGAGGAAGAGGACAGGGTAAGCGAGCAGAAATCATTTAACTTCCTCATTAGCATCCTGGACTGAAATCATCCCTAGAAATTCCGAATTCCTCACACTTTCTACACCACCATGTTCGACTTGGCCGCCATCCCGGGCAACGCGGGTAAGGGTAATTTTTATGAATATTCTTTGGTTTTAAAGGGACGAGAAAGGCATGACACCCATTAAAATCAAAACTTTCAGATGACCCGGGCAAGAGCACGCGTTTCTGGGGGCCGATGACGTGGGTTTTTCGCGAATTCCTCAAAAATCTCTGCTAGCCGGCTCCTCTAATAATCCCCGCTAGAATACCCTTGACTTCTGCAGACCCCAAATCATTATTTCCAGTCAAAAATCGGTGCGCAACCAGCTGGAACCGGGCGACTTTGCCTTCTTCTACCCGCTGCCCGACGACGACGAGAGTGAGGGTCCCCCACTGGCCGTGCTCCTCAACTGCGCCTACTTGTCGTCGAAGAACCGAGTGGGACTGGTTACGACAGGAAAATCCTCGTGAAACCTTTAGTTCCACGTGTTTCCGGTGAGCAGCGGGCGCCAGGGCTGGCGTGTCGAAATCGGGGAGCGGCTGATGCCCGTCTTCTCCACCCTATCCCAGCTCATCCGCCACCACGAGATCCACAGGTAGACTAGGCTTAGATTAGGCTTAGGCTTAGGCTTAGGCTTGGCTTAGGCTTAGGCTTCGGCTTAGGCTTAGGCTCAGGCTTAGGCTTCGGCTTAGGCTTGAGCTTAGACTTACTAGTCAGGCTTCATTCCCCTGATTAATTTCAGCTACCTCTGCCTCGAGACGCGCGTCCTCGAGAATTTCCCGGTGTTCGCGTCGTCGCGCGGAAGCGCCGAGGTCACGAACCCGGTGAGCAGCAGCGACTCGTCGTCGCTGAGCGATACCCGCCCCTCGAAGAAGAACCACTGAACTGCTAGCCATCGTTGTTTACTATCGTTTTCTGTACTTTGTGGTGTTTCGAATAAATTTTTGGTGTCCGGCCCGGCAAACCCCCGCAAAGGATCGTTGCTAGATTGCCTCAAAAGGCGCGCATTAAAGGGAGGACGAAACTTCCTTCACCCACCTTGTTAAAGCACATGATCTCGAGCTGCTGCTCCCGGTCCCAGACCCGAACCCCGTAAGTGCGGGTGACCGGAATTGAGGCGAATATCAAGAATATTTTGCGGAATAGTGCCATTATTGCTTGGAAATCGATGAAGAAATAAATAGTAAAAAGAGAGAAATTGTCGAAATCGGGAAATCGAACGGTTTTGGGGTTGCCCGAACCAAAAAGTAAAAAAAAAATCGGTATTCCGCTGTGTGGAATTAAATAGGAGCCCTCCTAGGGGAAGGCAAGGCGAAGAAAGTGATTTTTTAGGTGAGTCACAATTCATAACAGCTAAACTAGAATTATGCATTGACTGTCCCTTTAAAATCAGCTGGGCTTAGGCTAGGCTTAGGCTTAGGCTTCGGCTTCGGCTTAGGCTTAGCGTAGACTTAGACTTAGGCTTAGCTCAGGCTTAGACTTAGGCTTCATCACTCCATTACTTTAAGTTGCCACTGACCCTACAAAATCATTTTTCAAAGCCATAAATTCATCTTTATTACCGAAAAAAATCGAGTACAAAGGTACAAACTGAATAAAACCGGAAAAGTCAGTGCTTGAGATTCACCGGGCTAGTAAATGCGAATATGGATAAATCAAGGACGTCGATATTGCAAACAGGAAACAACCCAAAAACGGCAAAAAGACAATCGAAATAACGAAGATGGTTGTACGATGAGATCCACATCCAAGCACCCGTCAGTGGTAGCGTAGCGTAGTCGGGGGAGGGCGGAGGGTCAGAGCCGGTAGATCTGGAAGTGGAGGGCAGGCTAGCAGAGATTGTTGAGGAAGGGGTGAGGGCAGGCCAGCATAGAAAAGTCAGGAAAGTCTTACCGTAGCCTGGTTCTCTGACGTTTTCCGCTCTTTTTTCGTGCTCGTATCGTTGGCGTTCTGTGAGAAATTCGTCACTTCCGTCGCCTAAAAAATATACAGTCATTTTAGCACAATCATGCCTTCAATGGCCCTTTATAAAGACGCTCCTCGCTACCCTAACTTTAATTTCTTAATTCTAGCAACCTGACTGCCACTCCCCTTCCTGTCGGTGTGGCTCTCGGCACAGCTGTCGGCGATCGCCGTCTGCTCAAACTCCAGGCGTTTATACCTAAAGATTTTGCCGGTTTCTGCCTTCAATGGTCCTTTATGGGGCCCCTAAGGGGCCATTGAAGGCAAGCCGACTTACTTTGGGTTCAGCGCGAAGACGACAATGAGGAGGCCGATCACGCTGAGGACGCACCAAAAGTCGAGGGCAACTGTAAAGGGGTGAAATCGAAGAATCTCTGCTAGCCTGCCCCTCCCCTTCCTCAACAATCTCTGCTAGCCTGCCCTCTCCTTTTCCTCAACAATCTCTGCTAGCCTGCCCTCTCATCTTCCTCAACAATCTCTGCTAGCCTGCCCTCTCCTCTTCCTCAACAATCTCTGCTAGCCTGCCCTCTCCTCTTCCTCAACAATCTCTGCTAGCCTGCCCTCTCCTCTTCCTCAACAATCTCTGCTAGCCTGCCCTCTCCTCTTCCTCAACAATCTCTGCTAGCCTGCCCTCTCCTCTTCCTCAACAATCTCTGCTAGCCTGCCTCTCTCCTCTTCCTCAACAATCTCTGCTAGCCTGCCCTCTCCTCTTCCTCAACAATCTCTGCTAGCCTGCCCTCTCATCTTCCTCAACAATCTCTGCTAGCCTGCCCTCTCCTCTTCCTCAACAATCTCTGCTAGCCTGCCCTCTCCTCTTCCTCAACAATCTCTGCTAGCCTGCCATCTCATCTTCCTCAACAATCTCTGCTAGCCTGCCCTCTCCTCTTCCTCAACAATCTCTGCTAGCCTGCCCTCTCCTCTTCCTCAACAATCTCTGCTAGCCTGCCCCTCTCCTCTTCCTCAACAATCTCTGCTAGCCTGCCCTCTCCTCTTCCTCAACAATCTCTGCTAGCCTGCCCTCTCCTCTTCCTCAACAATCTCTGCTAGCCTGCCCTCTCCTCTTCCTCAACAATCTCTGCTAGCCTGCCCTCTCATCTTCCTCAACAATCTCTGCTAGCCTGCCCTCTCCTCTTCCTCAACAATCTCTGCTAGCCTGCCCTCTCATCTTCCTCAACAATCTCTGCTAGCCTGCCCTCTCCTCTTCCTCAACAATCTCTGCTAGCCTGCCCTCTCCTCTTCCTCAACAATCTCTGCTAGCCTGCCCTCTCATCTTCCTCAACAATCTCTGCTAGAATTTCCTTGAAATTACTTCGAAACTCACGCCAATAATTGTTGGTGAATGGATAATGCATAAAGTAGCCCTTCACGTTCTCTGCCAACAGGTCCATCCCAAACGATACGGCGAACATTAGGGCATTTCTGGAAATGATGGTTGAATTAGGCTCAGGCTTAGGCTTAGGCTCAGGCTTAGTGTTTAGGCTTAGGCCGTCGAACGCCTACCCAAAAATGACCAAAACGCCGCTCGACGTCGCCTCGGGTACCGGAAATGTCATCTCGACGCCCAGCTCGATACCTAAAAGCGGGAGCTGAACCCTGTCCGATTATCTACCTACCAATTGGGAAGATCGGTATGCAAAACGCGCCCAGGCTGATGAAGAGCAAGATCATGAGCGCCTTCATCCATGGCGAGTCGCCAGATTTGTGGTGGAGAAGCTAGGACCAGTTGGTTTCAAGCCTAAACCTAAGCCTAAGCCCAAGGCTGAGCCTAAGCCTAAGCCTTAGCCTATTCAAAGCAGGAAATGTATAGATTACCACATCCAGGGCAATTGAGGTGACCACGATGCCGGCGTAGCAGATTCGGATCACCTCCTGAAAAAAAATCATATGTTTAGGCAGGCTGGCAGAGATTGTTGAGGAAGAGGAGAGGGCAGGCTAGCAGAGATTGTTGAGGAAGAGGAGGGCAGGCTAGCAAGATGAGAGAAGAGGAGAGGCAGGCTGTAGAGTGTCGAGGAAGAGGAGAGGGCAGGCTAGCAGAGATTGTTGAGGAAGAGGAGAGGCGTGGCTAGCAGAGATTGTTGAGGAAGAGGAGAGGGCAGGCTAGCAGAGATTGTTGAGGAAGAGGAGAGGGTAGGCTAGCAGAGATGGTTGAGGAAAAGGAGAGTGCAGGCTAACAGAGATTGTTGAGGAAGAGGAGCGGGCAGGCTAGCCGAGGTCACTTGCCTTGAACGCCTTCGTCCTGTCCACAATCATCCCAGCGACAATCGAAGACACCCCACCGGCCACCGCCGCCAGAGCCGTCGTGTAGCCTGCCATGTGCTAAAAACATCCCAAATCCTGCCACCCCCTCTTTAAATTACCCCATAGTCGAGCGAGTCGAGGATCGCGTCGGTGACGATGAACACCGACCAGTTGATGGCAAAAGCGAGGCCGAAGGGGACGAGAAGTATCACGTAAGATGGCGTCCTAAAATGGTGCTTGCTGGCCTGTCCCATCCGCTTCCTCAGCAATTTCTGCTAGGCTGCTTTCCACCCGCTCCCAAAAGCTTCAAACCCACTTGAAAATGTTGGCCAGCCCCTGGCGCAGTGAAAAGGCGTTGTGGTGCGCGCTGGAGGGGGAGGGTGGCGTCGGTGGACATCCTCGCCGGATGCAAACTGTAATTTGGAAAAATCAATAATTTTTCTTGCCTTCCTAGCCCCTTGAATTGCCCTAGACTTACCTGACAACATGAACACGATGGTGCCGAGGGCGAGGAAGATGCCGTTCTAAGAAGAATGAGGTGTAAGTCGAAAAAGAAGTAGCTTGGCTTGGCCTAAGCTTAGGCTTAGGCGGCTTAGGCTATGGCTTAGGCTTGTGCTTAACTCACCAGCTTCAGCATCTCGTACGACTCGGGTGTCGGGTGACTCTCGTCGATCAGAAGCGTGGGCAGCATCGACCCAACGGCCACACCGAGCGGGTTTGCTAAAAACATGATTTTCCGCAAATGGTCTCTGCTAGCCTGCCTCGATTTTTCAAAGCTCACCAATAAAGCTGAGGACATTGGCGAGGGCCCGCTGATTCTCCGGGAACCAATATTCGGCGATTTTCGGGGGCAGCACCAAGAAGAACGGCTGTGAGGCGGCGGCAAAGACGGAACCTGGAAAGCGGGCTTTGTTTCCTCAACGATCTCTGCTATAGACTGCCGGATGGGTCCGATCGATTACGCTAGGAAAATTGCGTCCACTTCAACTCGTTCCTCGCCCGAACCAAGAGGTTTAGCCAATTACGATACGAAATAACTTCTCCTATACCCACCCGTATGCAGCACAGCCACCCTCGCGCCCATCTCCATCTGCGGCAACGACGCGAAGAAGCGGATCACCGCCCCGAGCGCGTTGAATGTCGCGCCGCAGATCAGCTAAAAGGATAGGGTAGCTTGGGCTAAACCTAAGCCTAAACTTCAACTACGCCTAACCGACTTACCGACAACTTGATGCCGTACTTGTCGGTCACGTAGAGCCCCACAACGCCGGTGGCCATGCCGACAAACTGGAAATGGGGATTTTTAGGGAGAGGCAGACTGGCAGAGATTGTTGACGAAGAGGAGCAGCAGGCTAGCAGAGATTGTTGTGGAAGAGGAGAGGGCAGGCTAGCAGAGATTGTTGAGGAAGAGGAGAGGGCAGGCTAGCAGAGATTGTTGAGGAAGAGGAGAGGGAGGAGGCTGGCAAAGTGTTATGGGGAGGGGAGGGCAGGCTAGAGGAGATTGTTGAGGAAGAGGAGAGGGCAGGCTGGCAGCGATTGTTGTGGAAGAGGAGAGGGCAGGCTAGCAGAGAGCATTAGGGAAAGTCGAGCACAAACCTGAAAGATCTGGTTCGAGTAGTAGCCAATTTTGCACGAGTCCGCCTCGGACTGCACCCGGCCGCAGAAGAAAGCGTCAGTGGTGGCCGTGATCGAGAGGTAGGAGATCCATTGCTGAAAAAATCACCGTTCCGCAACAACCTCTGCTAGCCTGCCCTCTTCTCTTCCTCAACAATCTCTGCTAGCCTGCCCTCTCCTCTTCCTCAACAACCTCTGCTAGTCTACCCGACCTACCGATGCGTTAGAGAGAGCCAGCAGACATGCGCAGAGTAGGATGAACCAACGCTCCGGGTAGACGCGGAATCTGTAAAGACACGGAATAAATTAAAAACACAGTAAAAAAATTTGCGAAAAAACATACCGATCTTTGCGCGTCGAGTTGGTCCTGGAGAGCACCTGCAGCTCCTCCTGCGACCAGAGGGTCAACATCTAGAAAAATTCACCCACCGTCATTTTTGTGCCAATTTTTAGGGGGTAACCAAAAGCGGTGGGGATCGGGCTTCATCTACAATTGGCAAAAGCCAACCGGAAATGCTAAAAAACGGCTGTGGCTGCCAAAACATAAACGATGTTATGCTAATTGACGGGGTTTTCCTATTGCCGTTAAGGGGGCTTTGGATGCCGCCGTTCGATTTTTAGGAATATTTCGGCGTGCAAAATGAATCAAGAAAAAGACTACGCTCCTCCCTGCCACTTCATCAAAACATTGTCTGTGAAACGTCGGAATAAAAAACTGCCCGAAAATTTGAATTGGGCGAGCTAGCAAAGATTCTTTAGGAGATCAGGCGGCTAAACGGATTCCTTAAGAAATGGGCAAACTAGCAGAGATTCTTTAGGAAACTGGAGAGGGCATGCTAGCACAGATTTTGCGGAGGTTCGGTGGAAAGAAAAGCTAGCATAGATTCTTAAAGATGTCCAGAATGTTTTTGAGGAATTTAGGCGGGCTAGCAGAGGTCCTTGAGGAATTGAAAGGGGGCCCAAAATTGAGCCGGAGCTTGAGAAATTCTTGGAGATTTTTGCCGGGGCTCGCTAGCAGGGATTCTTGAAGAACTAAAGAACTAGTGGAGATTCCTCAGGAAAGGGCAAGCTGGCAGAGATTCCTTAGGAGAGGGAAAGCTAGCTGAGATTCCTTACTAAAGGGCCACCTAGCAGAGATTCCTTAGGAAAGAGCAAGCTAGCAGAGATTCTTGCGGAAATTTCGTGATGTTAGCAGAACCTTTTTGAGAAGCAGGGCAAGCTAGCAAAGATTCCTTAAGAAAGGGCAACCTAGCAAGCAATGGTTCCCTAGGAAAGGGGATGCTAGGAAAGTTTCTTGCGGAAATTTTTGAGAAGCAGGGCAAGCTGGCAAAGATTCTTTAGGAAGCCAACAAGGCAAAGTAGCCCTCATTCCCCCTCCTAAACCAACAAAACTACAGCGCAAACAGCCCGAGGGCAAACAGGGGCAATGGGTCGACCCTATCGTCCAAATTGCCCAGCCGGGCTGTATCTAATCCGTGCATTAATGGGAGGTATTGGTGATTAACGGGGATTATAGTTATTTTCTAGGCTCGAAGCTCCTCGGCCCGCTGGTCGACGCTCTAATTATTCACCCCCCATTTTTCCTCTCCTTTTCCGGTCGCCAAAAATTAAGCGATATGTGGGGGGAGGGGATTTTTGGGATAATCTTAATGAATATTCAGCATTCCGTGTCTGAAAAGCTCGGCTATGGGGAGGCAAGCAACCGCACGAGGAACTTCTCAGATGGATAGTTGGGAGAGGTAGAGCGAGAGAGAGAGAGAGAGAAAAAGAGAGAAAGAGAGAATGAGAGAGACAGAGAGAGAGAGAGAAAGAGAGAATAAGAGAGATAGAGCGAGAGATAGAGATAGATAGAGAGAGAGAGAGGGAGAGAGAGAGAGAGAGAGAGAGAGAGAAAGGTGGCGCGAAAGGATCCGGAGGGCCAGCAGAGATTGTTGAGGACGAAAAGCGGGCAGGCTAGCAGAGATTGTGGAGGAAGAGGAGAGGGCAGGCTAGCAGAGATTGTTGAGGAAGAGGAGAGGGCAGTCTAGCAGAGATTGTTGAGGAAGAGGATAGGGCAGGCTAGCAGAATTATTTACCCGGCGCAATGTAAATAGTAAAACT